AAATCTCATTCTGTCTATAAATGGGACATCTCTGATAAGGCAGTAGACTCTGACCAGGTCTGATCTAATATCATCAAATCTCATTCTGTCTATAAATGGGACATCTCTGATTAGGCAGTAGACTCTGACCAGGTCTGATCTAATATCATCAAATCTCATTCTGTCTATAAATGGGACATCTCTGATAAGGCAGTAGACTCTGACCAGGTCTGATCTAATATCATCAAATCTCATTCTGTCTATAAATGTGGCATCTCTGATAAGGCACTAGACTCTCATCTTGGCTACTTGGACCTTACTTTTCATTTTAGTATTTAAGGTTCATGCCACATTCCATATAACAGTAGTAATCAGAGTATGATGGTATCTATGGTAACCCTGATTTCCTGTGGTATGTGTTTGTTCCTTAGCAGCGGGTAAAGCTTGCCTAAGTTTCTGCCGAACTGGTTTATCCTTTCATATACTGCACGCTCTCTACCTGCCCTTTGGTTAAAGATGACTTCTAGGTATTTGAAGCTGCCTGCCTGCTTTAATGTTCCATTTACCACAAGTGCTTGTTTTGGTATACGTGAAATTGTCATTAATTCTTATTTCAAGACATTTAGCTTAGAGCATTTTGCACCATATATCGACATTTAGCTGTAACTCTTCCGCGGTAGCTCAGTTGATATGACAATACTGATGTCGTCCGCATATACACAAGTGTGTCAGAATCCACTCTACAGTTGGGGGGAGGGGGAATGCGTACATCTACTTCCTTTAGTACTTTATCCATCAGCAACATGAACAAGAGTGTGGAGGGGGTGGGGGGGGGTGGTGAGTACACCATACACCAGTAGTTACTTTAAACTAATTCTGTTTCCCTGACTAGGGCCTCACTGCACTTACCAAACTTTACACATATTCCTTATTGCCTGGTAAAGCTTGAGAGGTATACTATAATTTGTTTTCTGTATCACTTGCCACAATTTTCTTCAAGGGATTTTGTCACATGCTTTATCCGGACCTAGGAAAACCAAATACTTTTCCACATGATCATGAATTATAATAGTTTAGAACCCAGAGCTCTAGAAAGAAGATTAAGACATCGAATTACCATTTTGATTAAACCTAGTAATCTGTTGAGTTTCGTTGTCTTGTAGTCTCTTTCAATTACCTGAACCAGGAAGAGACAATAATGAGTTAGTGCTCGAAAGGTTACAAGTGCGTTTAAAATTTGTTTATAATGATGTTTCTACAGTGCAAAACCGCCCCAGCCATACTTAAACCTGTGCTGATAAGCTAGTCTAAGTAAAGCGACTGGAGCCCTCTTTAAGTTGGAAAATTAACTGAAATTGTTTAGGTCTAATACAAACACTTAATGGACCCTTTACGCCACAGGAGATATGATAAACAAAAAATAATAATGGAGCTTCAGAATTTGTTTCAACACAGTGTAGCATAAGCATTCCCTCGTGAGTAACACAGCTCTAAATTTTCCACAAATTCAAAAGAAATATTGATGGGTGGTCCCAAACAACATCCTTTGGAACGTGTTATGTAGTTTCAACGACTACTTTATGAACGAGTAAACTAATTTTAGGTAACTAATAAACGTTAATTGAGCCGCCATTTTTTCATTGAAATATAACATAAAAAATGAACACCTGAAACAAACAGTTGACAGACGATTATTAAGTTCGGGCAATACAAGGCTTAGTCTCCCAAATTTACCAACTTCGAAAAATTAAAATGTTATCAACAAATTTTACAAAGCACCCACGCTATATCAAGTCCATTGGACAAGCTTTTATAGAATATCTTATGTTTCAGGTCTATAATATAATCAATTTACACTGTTACGTGAAATAAACCACGACGATTAGACGTACATCTGTTTTTAACGTAAATAATTGCACGTGTTCCTGATTTATTCTTTTTTGAAATTTCTATTGCGCGAATTTTCTACAAATTTCTGGAAGTCTTCTTTCAAGCAGTGTCTCTTGTTTCATTAAAAATATTTTGTTCGTTTTGATTGTAGTTACCTGTAATGTGGCTATGAACTGTTATTGACAAGTGTTGCTGTATAGTTGAACTATACAAACTATCTCACTATACGTATAGCAAATTACTGTAATGTTTTTATACTTCTTAGAACTTTATAAACCTGCCTTTTCTTCGTCTTCGTCCTGAAGATCGACGCTTGTTACTTCGTTTACCTGAAAATAAATAAATACAAGAAGCGTATATAAAATAAAGTAAAAATCACGGTTTGAACAAATATATAACGTAAGCACAGTCAGGATATTCTCTAATATAAGTATATTGTTTTTGTTTCTTTTCAATTGTAAATTAAACAGTATCTTAAATATAATAACTGATCACAGGATAAAACATGACGTGTTATATCTACGTGTAGATTTCTTGTAAAACGAAACAGTTCTTAGATAAGTTATTCATATGATTTTTTTAATATGACTGAGAAACAAATTGAAATAAATGTACACACAATATTTCATTTATACATTAATTATACATTTCACAATATTTCAGTTTAAGTAAATGTGTCATATTTGTCAAGTATTGATTCTATGACAAGTTTAATAAACATATATGGTTGTATAATTCTAGTATTATACGTGTTATTTAATCACGTGACTGAAGAACAAAGTATAGCTACGAAACTCGTATCGTGCTCCCTTTGTGTTGAAATGACAAGTGGAAGAAAAAGAAATGAATAATTCATTTTTCTGTCAATCTACTTATAAGTTTCTTTTAAAGGCATATACACATAATGGAGGGTGTTTTCAGCGTCAAATTAAAGCTATCGCGTTTTATATGTCACTAGTTTTCTGGAATCACATTTCTTAATGGGTTGTCTGTACTGCTGTATATAATGCAGTGTTTGTAATAAGAAGTACATAAGTTTTATTTCCATGACTCTTGACTGGAACGTGTAAGTTTACTTATAAAAACGGTGGACGTTAAGTGCGATTGTGTTTAGTGTGTTTATAAATACGGCGAACGTTGTTCGTTTGCTTGTAATTACGGTGCCTGGTGTGGCCTAATGGTTAGGACGTTCGACTAGTAATCTGCGGGTCGTGGGTTCGAATCCCCGTCAACGAACATGCTCGCCCGTTCAGTCGTTTGGACATTATAATATGACGGTCAATCCACTATTCGTTGATAAAAGAGTAGCCTAAGAGTTGGGGATGGGAAGTGTTGACTAGCTGCCTTCCTTCTAGTTTATCACTGTTGAATTAGGGACGCTAGCGCTGATAGCCCTCGAGTAGCTACGTGCGAAATTCAAAATAAAGCAGGGGTAAATACGATAAACGTTTAGCATTTAACAGTGCTCTTAACGTAACTATGCCGACTTAAATAAATCACAACAACATCAGTGCCGGAAGAGGCCTACATAGCAGTTGACCCTCCCAGATTCCGCTGATAGCCCTCGAGTAGCTACGTGCGAAATTCAAAATAAAGCAGGGGTAAATACGATAAACGTTCAGCATTTAACAGTGCTCTTAACGTAACTATGCCGACTTAAATAAATCACAACAACATCAGTGCCGGAAGAGGCCTACATAGCAGTTGACCCTCCCAGATTCCGAAAAGGATCAAGATCGTCGATTCGGTAAACGTCTTACGCGAACGTGTTTACTTTGCTTATAAATACGGTGGACGTAATTCACGAATTCTTATGTTGATTTGACATAATAAAATATTTAGAGAAACTTGCAATTTAAAAAAAACTCTATAAACAACAATAGCGAGATATTCTAGCTTTCTAATGTGACAAACGATAGTGGTCAGAGCTGTAGTGTTTCCTCTTGACTACTTAATAAAGTTTGTTAATGAAAAGTAATATTCTTAGTTGATGAAATAAACTCTCACCAACACTTCAAATATCAAACAAGAAAACAAAAAGAGGAAAAAAACCTAAACTTCAGAATTGAAGAAGCTCTACGTTGTTTCTCTACAAAACAAGGTTCAGGTATGAACACGTATTCACCTTATACATTGTCAGGTTTTGTTCCCCTGAATATGAAAAACACTATATATATATATATATATATATATTT